TAAATAAATCAATAAATCCACTGCTCTCTCGTCTCCTCTGAGGCTGGGACTGTAAACAGTGTTCTGTGCTTGTCTGTGCAGCCGAGCAGTTAGCGTGTTTTGCTCAAATGTTCACCATGGCATTAGAACTGGTACACCACGCTTGATTGTCGCTTGCGAAATCAAATGATGGCGTCGTGGGTGGAAACTTAGAGATTAAGGGGCGTAATATTATAATGAGATCCCTTTGCAACGTCACTAGGGGAGCAAAATCAGACGCGCTCGTTTTTTTCAGACACTTGTAGAAAAACGCTTACCAAAACAAAGTTACTGGGTTAATCTTTTTCACCTTTCCTTGGTTGGTAGATGCACCGGGGACCTGATTATCGCACTTAAAAGCTGGAAAAGTCAGATTTTCATGATATGTCACCTTTAAGTGCAAACGGAATGTAATGTTTTCAGACACTTAATTGCATGTTAATTGCAATTAAATGTATCATAATTAAAATTTATAGTAAATGCAATTAGCTGAACTTTAGAGTGTTTTTGACAAACTTAGGTAGGACTTACACATCTTTGTTTCATTATTACTTATTCTTTTGTCTTTTAAATATGCTTAAAGTGCATGACAAGCATTTAGGGTAAACCAAAATATACTTTATTATCATTTCTATTGAAACTTGTTTAAAATATATTAACTTTACATGCAATATTGAATAATACACTACAGTTAAAATTATAATCAATTACTTTACGTTAGTCAACACAGAACAAAAAGAACAAAAGATTATTAAAACAATGATTTAAAATGTTCTTTAAAGTAAACTTTAAAAGCAATATTATTACAAAGTGCACTGTTTTTTTGAAGTACACTCTCTTGAACACTTAAGTGGCCTTTTATGTCATTAACACTATCTGCATACAGTTTTTTTTGTACTTTTAAATACTTTTAAGATTTAAAGTACACAACAAGTGCACATTTACGCGCACTTATTTTTACAATAATAAAAACCAGCAATGTTTAACTTACATTTGACAATTTCATCATCTAAAGTAATAGTATTCTATGGACAATGCTGATGACAGCAGTTTAGTTGATGATTATTGCAGATATAAGCAACACGCTGTGAGATGGACATCGCTATCCACTCAACCATGTCAAATATTTGGGAGGTAATCTCTGCTTTTCATTACACCTTTAAGCTTCATTCCTCAGGAATGTAACCCTTTGCTCCGCAGACTGAGCAAGGTGATGTTTAGAGGAAAATCCTAATGAAAAGAATTAAGCAGCTTTGACTGGGCATATAATTGCTTCCTGCAAGGTTACAGCTGCTCGCTGGCTGAAAATTTTTCCAGTCAAAAAGGCATCTATACATGCACACATTCGTGTACACACATACGTGTACACACACACACACACACACACACACACACACACAGACCGAGTAAGATAAAGATGCATGTACATGAATATCACACTTTAAACATGCCATGCTGTCACCTGCAACAGTAAAGTATTTAAATAGCCAATAAACACATTCAAAAAATTAATTGTAATATTTGTAACTTTAGTAAAACATGCTAAATCGAGCACAGTACAACAGCAGTACTGAAAAATTAACTTCTACTGCATCCAAATCACCACACTTGTGCTGCAAAACTGCAGCTTAGTTCACGTTGCAGTGCAGCTGTCCGTCAGACCTGTTGTTGTGCTGATCTGAAGTACTATTGAGCTATACTTGTATTGCACTACATTGACTACAAGTATGCTTAATGTAAATGTAGTTGTACTTGAGAGTTCTTCATCACACAATACGGTGTAATTTTATGCTACAAAATTGCATTTCTCAATGCATAGATTGTAGTAATATTACAATCACACTGCAGTTTGATGGTTTGAAGGGAAAGATTAAGAATCAAAGACCTGTAGGCGATAGAAGCAACTGAAGTGACTTGACGTCAACGCATGTCTTGTGATTAATACATGTGAAGGGGCTTAGAACACAGAGAACTTCAGCAGATGTGAAGTGGATGATCCGCTTCAGTGAACCTCTATGTTCTTTGAAGAATGATACTCATTCAGAGTTACAAGGCAAATGCACAGCTGTGAGATAAATGTAAGATTCAGTGATTTTAAAAAGACAGACGTTTTCCTTATCAGATGTTGACTTTAAAAAATACCTCACACCTCTCTCAGGTAACAGAAAGTAAATGAGTCAGTTGTAATAGGTGTAGAAGAGAAATCTGTAGCTGACCCTAGAGATGGTTGGTAATGGACCGGACCACAGCTAAAATGGAACTGGTGTGAATGCAGTTTGTTGATAGAAGTTCTCTAATCACTGAACCCAGGCAACAGAACAGGATGTTGTCATAGCAATCCATCCTGGAAATACTAGAATGACATGTTTAGAATGTGTTTTTGCAGACCTCTGGTTCACCTGCTCCCTACTGACACAAACATTCACAGACATGCACAGAAACGTTCAATGGTTTCGGAAGATCTGAGATTTAGCTCTCTACCCTGTCTTCATGGATCATTTAAACACAGAAGTGCAGTCCAGTCTTCTCATTTCCTGTTGAGAGACCTTAAACCTCTAGACTAACAGGAAGTAGTGTCTCAGTCATTAACATGCTTGTCTTGTCACAAGGTTTCAGGGGTGAATTGATTGATTTGCTGTTCTGCAGGCAATGCTGAGGTTGAATTATGGCTCCTAAACACACATTCTCTTCACACAATGCAGAATAAGACCCAAGTGAAGCATCAGGTCAGATAGGACATAGAATGTGGCAAAGCCATTTGTGTGGATGGGAAGAATTACATTTCTTTTACTGTTGAAATAAATGGCAATATTTTACATTACTAAGTCTGAACAAGCTGAACAAATGATTTACAACCATAATAATTTAGGACATCCATGAAAAACATTATACAGTAAAAACGGTTCACAATTTTATAAAAAAAAAAAAAAAAAAAGTAAAAATGATACTTATTACTTAGTACGATATTTACACACACACACACACACACACACACACACACACACACATATCAGTATAGTGTAGGTTAGTGAAAAACAATAAAAAGGATAGAAATCCACAATTTTAAACACATGAAATCTTTAACTATTTTTTTCTAGATGTCAAGAACATCCTTATATTGTTATTCACAATAACTTATAATTTGATTTGCTATAAATTGATTTGATATTATTTGCTTACAAAACTTTTGTATTATTTAAAATCAAAACATAAAGCCTAACCCCTTACTCAAACCCTAAACCTAACAATGATTGTGACAGGAAAAAATCTAGAAAAGTTATATGTTTCCATATAATCCAAGATCCAAGACGTACTATATCATATGATTTTGCCATTTAATATAATTGTTGTCATCAGAGTGTGTTGGCTACATTTTTTTTATTTTAGTCAATGTTTATAGCAGTGTTTATATAGTGTATTACCCTGATGGTACAGTATTTTGTCTTTGGGTGTGTGACATACAGTTTGAGTGCTTTGAGTGTTAAGTTTATGAAAAGGTATGTTTTATTTGATTCATCATGTGCTGTTTTTTAACATCTGTGTTATAATGCAGCAGATTTTAGAACTTCAAGTATGTTAGTTTACTCCTTGTCAGGGCTAGTTAACACTATGTCAATTGATGATCTAAATAGTCATGAATTGTAAAATATGCATGCATCTAAATGCCTCCTGTAAACACCATATTTTTAAAGTGAATGTCTGGCAACTACAACTGCCAGTTCTTTACTGTAAATTTATCAGTACTGTTTTACAGTGTCAATCCTTTGGAGAGAACTGGATGAATCGTCCAAAGTGTCCAAAGTATTAAAAATGGTTTTGTTTGCTGATGATACAAATTTATATTGTTCGGGGCAAAATTTGGAACAGCTTCTGAATACAGTGGAAATCGAATTGATGAGTTTCAAAAAATGGATAAGATGAAAAATAAATAGACTTTCATTGAATTTAAGTAAAACAAAGTTTATAATATTTAGTAATCGAAAAAAGTAACAATAAAGTTAAAATAAGGATTAACAATGAGGAAATAGAAAGAGTGTATAATTGATCATAAATTATGTTGGAAACCACATATAAATTATGTAAAAACAAAAATGTCCAAATCCATTGCAATATTAAATAAAACAAAATATACTCTGAATGAAAATACATTATATATATTGTATTGTGCGCTCATAGTTCCATACATTACTTATTTCTGTCTACACCTTTTTCAGAAATTATGTTCATTAATTTATTTTTTGTGAAAAGTTGTATGTAAGGACCGAAATAAACAGAATTGAATTGAAAAAAAAATTAACACCTATCACTTCACAAACAAATGTAGTTAGTTATATGGCCTGTGAAAACTGTTCTTGCCATGAAACCGAGACAACGGGGGAGTGACAGACGACTGCTGTTGATTATAGAAAGAGGAGAAGCTGGACTTCAATGTGGCGTCAAGAGACTCAGCTTTAATGAGAGGGCAAGAAAACGTATCTGTAGTCACAAAAGAAGGGGGAAGGAGAAAGACGTGGAGAAAGACGTAGAGAAAGAAGAGGAAAAAAATTCCATGTGGGGTGGGGAACCATCTGGACTGGTCTTGACCTGAGAATCTGACATGGCCCTATCATTATTGGTTACTTAGACGTATTCCAGACACATCTCATGTCACAATTGTGATGAAAGCTCACTCGCTCATTGACCTCACACAAACACTGTTGACATTGTTGAGAATCAGTCATTTGGTCAGGGAAAAGCTGCATTAATTTTCGATGACAGACACGCAGACTGCACCCTTTTGCCGTCATCTCCCGCTTACCTTTGTACAGTTTGGCTCCCTCGACTACTGTAGGAAGGAAGTTACTGGGAGTCATCTTCCATCCCTTCTCTTCTTCCTGCAAAACAGACAGTTTGTATTAAGGTGGGTCCTTCTCCTGTATATGAACTTTACATGGTGGACAAGGAAAGTTCTCTGAAATAATTGAAGTCAAGTTATGGATAAATCTATGAGACTGAGATTCCACATGAGTGATCAAAACTCTTCCCAGGGCGATGTTCTTGCACGCTGCTCTGGTGCAGGGTCACCCTCAGTGCTGGCATTTTAATGATGTGAATACACAGCGGGGGCTGAATGTGATGCTGCGAGCATGATTTACGGTGCCTCCTGTTTTCCTTTCTCTCAACTAGGGGTCGCACATTAAAAGTAAATCAATGTCCTCACATACTCATGCGAATGTTTGGCTTGCGTGTCACAAGCACACACTCAAAACCGCAGAGTGTGTCTGCTTGGGAGTAGAGCATTTTCAGAAGGAATAAGCCAAATGGAGGCTGTATATTTTATGGGCTGTCTTTCTTTAAACACATTTCTCCATTAGCAGCTAATGACCCCCAAAAGAGACACAAATCCATCTGAAAATATGAAAGGCACTTAAGTGCCTGGGAGCAGTGATTTATGATTATTCATGTGGCATTAGACAGAACTTCCAAATGGATCTGGCAGATTATATCAAAGAAACCTGTGGCCAGGTCAGGAGCAAAATGAATTTATGTGCCAGGTCTAATTGAATTTGTCAGATATAGGGAACAAAAACATATGTATATTTTAAAAAATATATATATTTCAAAATATTAAAAAATAAATTGCGAATAGGGGTTTTAAAAATTAGCTACTTTTATTTTTTATATGTTTTTGGCCATTTTTAGATATTTTCAATCTGCATGTTTGTATATTATTCAAAATATACAAAAAGTACATTTTTATATCTCCTTTAGCCATGCTGTTTACATCAAATAAATTAAAAACATATTTTAATCATTGGTAAGCAGTGGTGGAAATACAGTAAATATTTACTAATCACAGATTTAAAAACATTCTTTGTATAACTATGTATTTGGTACTGCCTTCATTTTTCTTTAACAAGGAGCCTTTGAGTGGCACTTGAAAATTTAAACTAGGCCTAAACTAGGCCAACATAAGAGCTCTGACAAAAATCCCTTAACTATTGAAAGGCTCAGCTTTCAAACAGGATGTGAGCCTTTGAAAAAGGTCAGATTGGTCTTTCGGCCTCATTATGAGCAGATATCAGTGGTTCTGCTCTCCAATGAGGATTACAGGTGCTCTTATGAAGGAAAGCATGAACAAAGGCTTCATTCTATAACTCCGGAACGCAGCCAGTCAGCATGAGCAGGCATTTTCATCGCTCGACTGCCTCACAGTAGCCACTGGTCAGCATATGACGTTCAGAGGTCAGCTCAGAGAACATTAAACCTCACATGAACCTAAATCACTTTGGACTTAAACACGAAAGACTGCTGTCTGCCACATCTAAGCTTTAAAACATAATTCGTTTAGTTTATCTTAACTCTTTGTTAAAATAAAATATTGGAACACAGGAAGTCTGGATGTCGTAGTACAGAAAACAGAAGCTATATCTATGTTTAACAAGAGGAAGAGTTCTGAATAGGGAGAGCAACAGGTTATCAAGGATACAGTCAAATCTAGGTGGAACAAAGCAGGAACGCCTTGCTGAAATCACAGATATTTCCGGAGACTGTCGATGAGTTTAACAAACTAATATCCTCAACATTCCTAATCTTAATCTAGCTTGAACAGAACACTGGCAAGGATATTACAGTTCTCTAGACATTTACGATGTGCAATTATGCGTGAGAATATGAGCATACTGAGTATGTTAAATGTCTTTTTCTAAGATGGAATGATGCAAGTGCTGCTGTGATATGTCATAATTCTCTCATCTATGACTCTTTTAACTTAATATCTGGAAACTTCAGGCCTTCTCTCCTCAGGGAAATCTGTGAAATGAAACTGTCTAGCACAGATGCTGAGAGGAACGCCTATAAACCTGCTTTCATCTAACTGTAATGTAAATAAGCCTAAAGGTTAGAGGAACTTGCCTGAAATGGAGATGTAACAAAGTTAGGTTGCAATAATTGACAAGGACAAGGAAACACTAAACGAGAATGTACAGTGGAAAACAACGTGATTTTCTTTCAATACTCGATCTGTAATCAAATTCTCCACCTAAAGTCAGCACTATGCAGTTCAACCAAGTCTGGTTCATTGTGTGTGGGCATGACCACAAAGGTCATCTGAGTCACTGGACACTCAAATTTGTGCCACATCAGCTGATTTAATTCTGCAGATACAGATACTTTAAAAAGACTTTATTGATTTCTGTGCAACAGTGATACGTTTTTATCAAGGCATGGCCCCACCTCTGTATCTCCTTTCCCCTTTTTTCCTTTCATCTTCCCTTTCTTCTCTTTCTTCTTCTCTTTGCGGTCATTCCCTTTTTTGTCTTTCTCTCCCTTCGATTTTTTCTTCTTCTCCCTCTCTTCTTCTTTAGCAGCGAATTCAGCAGCAACCTTCAAAACACTACATGTTAGCACTCTTAAACAAGCATTAATGAAAAAATTTATTGTGTATCTAAAAAAAGGACAGTATCAAGCAATATCCTTTTGAAATCAAATAATATTTATTAGCTAAAGTATGATGGATAGTCTCTGGATGGATGTAGTAGACTGATAGGATTAATAACCTGTTCTGGTGTCTTCTGAGCAAATATAGATGCAGATCCTCCATCCTCAGGACTTGGGAAGTCAGGGAATTTCCCCGTGGCATCTCTGAAACACAAAACAGCAATAATGTAATTTATTATTTAATTAAAAAATTTATTATATTACATGTATTATATTTATATTTTTAATTAAATTTTGAACTTTAATAAGGTGACTTTCTCTAATGTTTTTAAACATCTGAAATGTACAGTGGTGTAGATTAAAGAGGACAAATATAACATTTCTATTGAGAGACTAAAAACACCTATTACTCAACTTTTTTGGTTTAAATTTCCCTCCCAATATTTTTTAAGATTTCTCTCCCAAAACGGAAAATATATGGGAAGAACTCTATGTGAAAAACACATTTTTCCTTAAAGATGAGGTAACACAGACTTCATGTCTGTGTGAACATATAGATAAACAAAGCAGATCGCGTGAACAAAGGCAAATCAATCATATTTGAACTGTGAACTTCACACATGGGGAGGATACATTAGCCAGGTCCAGCGCTGACTCTCAGGGGAGCTGGGGCAGGTTTAGAATAACAGGGTAAAAGTGTCAGTCAGAGCCCAGCCTGAGCTCTCTGCTCTAGCTAACTTAATCAGTAGCACACTGCTAAAACTCACTTCCAATGAGGTAGCTCATGCTGAAAGCTGTACTACTGTAATGTGGAGGATTGAATTTCAACTAAATCTGCACACTGGAGGAAAAATAAAATAAAATAGATTCACTACATTTTGAATAAACCGAGCATACTTTTTATTCAACAACTTCAATAAAGGGATTGTACAACGAAACTGCTGATTTCTCTCCCAGCTACCTCAGTGTAGAGTGCATTAGTGCCCACACAATTTTTCAGTGATGTTGTTTTTTTTTCCATTTTTCCCATACAGATTTAAAAATGTCTTTGTTGAAGTGTTATGTCATGAACCAAGCCAACCACCTACAAGGTGAATCAGAACATTGCAGAAAAAAAAAAGTATTTGAAAATTGGACAAAAAGACAAAGACACGAGTACGTATCAGCTTTAGGAAGGGAAGGAACTACAATCCTATGAAGAATAACATAATCAAATTAAAACAATGAAGAAATGTACATCTATTCAGTTAAAGTTGTATTAGAAATGGACGTTCCCTGCAAGCTCTTTTGCCATGATTTGCATATGAATCTCTGGTGGAATTTTGTACAGCATCATGGGTAATGTAATTTTTCACCACAAATACAGCTGTTAAACATGATTGTTTTATAAATAATAATAAAAATAAATAATAATGTGAATAGATGGCTTCAACCAAATCATACTGATTCCAAACAACCTTGAAACTTCCCTTTGGAGAAAATTAATTGGGTTTTTACTTCCGGAACCCGACTGTATGTTAGCATGATGAAAATTGTAATAATGGTAAAGCATTTATATTTTTTACGGCATATGTCTGACTGGCTGTTTAAATACTCCACCTTTCGCTCTTCCACTTCATCAGCACATACGAAACCATGCCAACATACTTCACCTTGCAGGTCCTGACCTGGTATCCCATACATCCCTTATACAACCAGCAGGGGCCCAGCAAGGTCATTGGAAGGGGCCAGAGAAAGGGGCCACTAACCGGAGACAAAGCTACTGAACTCCCCCCCACAACATTGTGTTGTCCAACTGAGATGACTTATGACTGTTGTCTCCGCATTAATGGGCAGCAGCATGCAGTGGCAGGCCGTAAATCAGGCTGGAATGCACTAATCAGCCCAGTCTCACTCTACACACTTGAAAATAGCACATGCATTAGCTAAGCATAAACAGCCCTGGGTAAAAGTGACCATCGCTTTGACTGCTTACATTCCAGCCTCTGCACAAAAGGAAGAGACGAAACGCCAGGAATGTACTTTAAAATTAGAGTGAAATAATGGATTGAGTGGACTGAGATGCAAGGAAAAGCTCTTGAGAGTGTGGAAGCAAATTAGCAGATTAGCAAAAGGAGACAGGTAGAAGATTGCATAGAGGTGATTAGTTCCAGAGATTCTGAGAAAGTAATTGAGGGAATGCCGAGGAACAAACAGCCCTTTTTTTCATAAGTGGAAAAAATATTATTGAAATGTTGTCACAATTTGCTGCAATTACTTATACCTTCCTATAACACTGTCCATAATAAAGAAAAAGAAAGATCTTTTAGTTTAAAACATATGTGCCAAGTTATTAGAAATGTACTCTTTTATCTATATTTGTTTTATATGGTTTTGAAAAACTTTAATAATACCAATTTTACAAAAGGTTTCAATTTTTGGACTCCAAAAATGTCATGTGGTGTAACCATCAAGTAAAAATTAACAGATTTTCATTACAGATTAAATACATGTGAGCAAACACATTCTAATCATTATTATTATTTTTTTTAAATATATATTTTTCAAGACAAAAAGTATTTTTCAATTATTAATTTATAAATGTCCTTACTTTTTTTAAGGTCATCTGATTTTTTTTAAATTTGACCTTGACATATAGCATATAGTCAGTAGGAACTGCAGAGAATCTCAAGTTTTTTTAAACACACACACACAATGTGTGTAATATATA